CCTCACCATTTCAACTTGAGTGACTGTGCTGTCGCTAAAGTGATGGTCTAGCTGAAGAGAGGTAGAATGTTAAGAGAGATAAACTGGGGATGATGACTGTGGAGTCTTTGACCTGGAAGGGGGTGGAGTCTTGCTTATTGTCCCTCCCCTCTCCTCCATCCCGCCTAAATATGAAGGAAAATGAAAAAATGAATAAAAAGGCAGACACGGCTGCGCAAGGAGCACTCTCCAGCACCCTAAAGCTGAGGCCAGTGTATGCGACCGCTGAAAACGTGTAAGAGGTGAAGGATTGGAAAAGCTAGCACTTGTCATGGTGATGGGCATATCATCTCAGACTGCGATTGTGGATGTCATCGTTGCTATCGCTGTCCTGTGAATTTCTACCGCATCTGTCACTTGGGGGAAGAGAAAATGGGATTCACTCACTCATCCAAAGTTGCTCCTCTATCCACTGCTCCAATTCCCCTCCCGCTATCACTCATTTCCAATCTCCTCAACGCCGCTCCACAGATGGGACTGATGAAAATACGATATTAAATTTTACTTCAAAATTGTTTCTCTAAAAGTTTGTTGCCATTTTCGTTATTTATAAACTATTCAGATGTTACCGTTGATCCACTGAGATCTGAAGAGATGACCACTTGGATTTGGGAACACTGTGGTGGTGAAAAGGTGAATTGGCTGTCATACGAGAGCAGAAAAACATGCTCGCTCATGGCATTTGATTATTCTAAAAGGCAGATAGTTGTTTTTATTTCTAACAGCTGAAGAAACGTTAAATATGATCCGAAAAGTTAGTTAATTTAAAGTGATCATTTCCACAGACGATGACGCAAATTCAAAGGAGCTTACATCTCCATTCTTCTCTGTTTTGGGACTTTTAGACACCACGTGATGTAGGAAATGCTGTAGGAATAATTAAACAGCAAAACATTTTCTAAGTAACTATCAAGCGCAGTCCAAGTTAAAGTGTACAATTCGTTTTCTTCCTTTTGACCATCTTATTCAAGAAGTCGTTCGGATTCCGATTCTGACCGTATTCTCTTCCCATTTTCATTATTTGCGAATTAAGTCTAATTATAATTTTCCTTTTCCTATATGCGCATTTAGCCTCCTGAGTCTTTCCGGAAGAGGAAGGAAGTCATAACACCAGGCCAGAGTGTGTATTGACGAGGTACTGGCCCAAGGGCCATGCCGTCCGGCGGAAGTATAGGGGTGGAGACTTAGTTCCCGCAAAACCAAAACGAAGAGTTAAACAAACAACCAAAGTACCGCATAGCCCCTCTCTTCTTCTTTTTAGCCTCGTCTCCGCCGCTCTCCTTAGTCAGCCTCGCGCGTCGGTCATCACAATATAGTCAGTGATGGAAAAATAACATCCCACGCCAACCATCCCCGCCAGTCACTTGATTTATGTGCATCGCAGAAGATATTCGATTCCAACGTCTCATATCCACCTCGGTAATTCCACCAAATCTAAAGGTGAAAGAAGATATAATACTTGGGTAGAGTATGTATTGCCGACGTACAGAAGGGCTGAGGGGCTACTAACATGGCCCAGAGGTCATGCCACTGAGCAGACGTACAATGCAAGGAGACTTAGATACTTTCATAACCAAATACAGAGCTCAATAAAGTAGCCAAGCATTATAGTATAGAAAGAAGCCTAAGTACGGAGATCTTTTAAAATTCACTTAGAAGAGACTGGAGCCCCAACTCAACTTTCTTTGGCAAACCTTGTAATATTGCATTGGGCTATTTACCATCAGTTCCTGATATTTACCGCTGGTTGCATGTTTTTCTGACTACAAATCCTATGGAAATCCATAAACACTTTTTTTGTAATGGAAAACAGTTTGTAATAGCGGGCTTTGCTAATGAATCAGTTGCGTAGACATGAGCCAACATTTGTAGGACAGAAGGCTCCTGCCTTGTTTAATCCAGCAACCAAAAGGGCGCACAAATTGGGAAATTCATCAGTATGGAGTCTGACTAGGTTTAATATCTATATTAATCTTCTTTAATGCATAAGTTGCGATGAGTGTGACGGAGCTTATTCATAACTTTTATGAAGAAGAAACTGTTTTGTTATTGGATATTTTTGCTAGACCCTCTTGGTTAACAGCCCTCCAAAGATCTATCCGTTGGGAGGTAGTGGGATGGAAGTGAACTGTTTTGCCTAATAAGCGATTATTCCAAGTAAATTTTTACCCTGCTTTAATCCAAAATCTTCTTGAATTTTGAAGAAGTTATGAGTGAAGGATGCCACCGAGTCTAGCATAAGACGGATTTAAGCAGTGTCAGGATCCATCAACGCTTGATAAGTCGTTATAGCTGCAATACTTGATGCGCGGTTTAACTTGGTATTTTGATTACACGGAGACTTCCGCTTTGCGGAATGGCCTCTAGGCCGTGCCTGTAGTCTCTCAGTCCATCTGTACGTCAGTAATACATCTTCCCGCACAGTTCAACTACTTTCGACCTAAGGAAGACCTCGGGGCGCTAAACAGCCTCTGACTATGTTAAATACTGTTGAAGTAAAATGGCCACTGAAAGTCGGCAGAACGTTAATTCCAACTGAGTAAACACTTAGAATGCAACCACAATTGGGACAATTCGCTTAGCCATTCTTCTTTAAAATTGTGATTAACCCTCACCGTAATAAGTTAAGTGTAAATCTTACCAAAACAAAAAGAAAATCTTCTTTTGTGGGGCTGACATGGCTATTTGAAACTGATAGTGGCAAAAAAGCAGTAGAACAAATGGCTTCCTCGCTTTAAGTAAGATGTAGTGAGGTGATAATTTGTTTGACGATGTGTGCTTAATCGCACGGACACCTTATTTTCCGCATGGAGCTTTCGCTCTATGCCATGGTTTCTGTACCATTTCGCTAGTTTCTCAACTTTTTGG